CGGTTTTCCTTCTTGGTCCTGCCATGATGTCATCAGCCTAGCAGCAGTGGCTGTCTGTGGCTGAGCACAAATTATAGAGAACGGCGAACGAACGTTTCGGAGTGATTCGTTTAGCTACATTGAGCGTTTTAGCCAGTTGAGATGTCTGCAACTAACGCACCGATTTGTTTCAGTGTAGAGACGCTGGTGGACTATGCTCCCCGAGTCCTAGGCGTTCCCTAATCCAGAGCCGCCCCCGGCTCTAAATTTTGTTAGGGATCGTAGTCGCTCCAACAGTAGCCTTAGAGCGCTCATCAATGACACTTTAAAATTTATTGAAATTCCAAACCAAATAGCTAAAACTATTTTGCAAATGGAAGACAAAATTAAAAATTTCTTACGTGAACTGTGATATTCCGCGGCACTTTAACCCGAATTCTACTTTAAAATGTATGACTCTGGCTCATGCCCTGGTATTTTGTACAGCTTGCCCAAAAAACTGATTTAGCTTCAAAATTTCCATTCCGACCAATTTTTGTTGCCTACAACACTCCGAGTTTTAAACTTACTTAATTTCTGGTTCCGGGTCCTAAATTGTCTTACGAGCAATGAGTTTGCTGTAGACAATATATATTTGTAGACCGCTTGAAAAAGTTTACTGATGTTTAGAACTAACTATGGCTTTTTTGATGTGAAAAATTTATTTACTAATATACCCCTATATGAAACTATTGAAATCTGCCTTAATTCGTTGTTCAAAAAAGTCAATGCCTTTTCCATAAGTTAGAAAGGCCAGTTGTTCAAATCTCTTCTTGAATTATATGGTTGTCAGTGTTAAACTCTATTTTCGTTTTTGCCGGTAAGCTTTATAAACAGATTGACGGTTTGGGAATGTGTCTTCCACTCGGCCCTACCTTTGCAAATATTTTGATGTGTTTTCACGAGGTTGTTTGGCTAGCCAATTGTACTCCATTTTAAGCCAACATTTTATAACCGATATATCGATGACTCTTATTTGATCTTTAACTCACGCGTGGCTGTTTTTCGATGTTCTCAACTGTCAACATAAGTTGATCAAATTCACTATGGAACTTGAATCCAACAGTAGTTCTTATCTCGTTGATTGCAATATTATACTGAATCTAATGGACATGGACATTTCCAGACTTCTGTTTACCGAAAATCGACGTTTACCGGTTTAAGTATCAGCTTCTTTAGTTTCTGTTTCGTTTTACGTTAAATAGGATTCAAAGACTAATATACTGCGGCTTTCGTATTTGCTCAACCTTCCATGGCATACACTCAGAATTTGACAATTTTGCGCAATACCTTCTCACTTAATATGTTTCAGTCTCACCTGGTGTTTACTCAAATTAGAAAATTTATGTGTAAACAAAATACTGATGTTGCTTCGGAATGTGATAATAGAAACTTTGTTTATTGTTCGTTTCCATACTACGGTCCAGCATCTGATACCCCAGTAGGCATCCGACGTTGAAACAACGTTGATTATTGGTTGATTTCAGGTTGAAATGTTTAACAACCAAAATTAAACGTCATATCAAAGTCGAAATCTGACCAACACGAGAAGGGACGTAAAACAACCTTAGTTCAAATGTTGAAGTAACGTCGATATTGGTACGTTAAATTTTGACTAATTTTTAAACGTTGAATCAATGTTGATTTCAGGTTAAATTATTGAACAACTCAAACTAAACGTACAATCAACGTCAAAATCTGACCAAAACTAGAACGGATGTACAACAACCTTATTTTAATGTCGAAATAACGTCGATATTGGTACGTTGAATTTTTACTAATTTTTAAACGTTGAATCAACGTTAATTTCAGGTTGAAATGCTGAACAATCGAAATTAAACGTCCGATCAACGTCTAAATCTGACCAAAACTAGAACGGACGTAAAACAACCATATTTCAACGTTGAAACAATGTTGAAATAGGTACGTTTAATGTTTATTTATTTTTAAACGTTCAATCAATGTTGACTTCAGGTTGAAATGCTGAACAATCAAAACTAAACGTCCGATCAACGTCTAAATCTGACCAAAACTAGAAAGGACGTAAAACAACCTCATTTCAACGTTGAAAAATGGTCGATATCGGTACGTTTAATGTTTAGCGATTTACCAGCATGGAACTAATGTTATCACACCAACATTGAATGAAATACATATATATAAGTGTACGATTAATGACCAGAGAATGCATTTCAATTTTCAAGGACTTGAACAATTCTTTAGCTTATTTCTGTTGCTCATGTACGCGAGCTACCGTGGTCACGGTTGCTAAGGCGTCACGCAGTCTCCAGCGATCCCGGGTTCGAATCCTGCAACAGACGAAAAACAGGTTGTTATTCAACGTTGATTCCACCAGAGAATTGGACGTTGCAGCAATGTCGTAGTAGCAACATTGATTCAACGTTGCATTGTAACGTCAGTACGACGTTTCATGGGAGATGTTGCTTCAATTTTCATTCATAACCTACTTTCACCCCGATCTCAACGTCGTAATAGTGTGGGAAATTTCCCACCGTTTATCAAATTTCCATTCTTTAAAATGAATTTAGTTATAATTTATGTTGGGGTAATATTAAGATTAGTCTAGGGTAAGTTTAATGTTAGGGTAATTTAAGCCAGACCAGGTTTTCCGCAAATAGACGCTCGCACTGAAACACCACTGTAGCCAGACTAAATTTTGTGATCTCCAGCCAGCCTGTCGTCTGCCGCCGCTACTTCACCTTCATTCAAACAAAAGTCTAAATTTCTTTCGGATTCTGTGATTTATCATTCCTTGGTTTGAGTGTCCGATATTCATTCGTTTTGTTTAGTTTGCTCAAATCTATGCTTAATTAACGTGTGCTTCAGACTACAATAGTTTAATTTATTCAAATTCAACTTCAAAAATTCAACTTTAAGTAGATGAGGCTTCTTCTAGAGCTCTATTTTTGGAGTTCACACTGAATTGCTTTACCTTAATTCTTACTTCAACGCACCAATCTTCAACTATTCTTACTTTAATTCCGCCTGAATCATTCACCTTCAATTGATTTCTTCTTTTTTCACCAATTAAATTCTGCCAAAAGTGGTTAGCACACTGGGTGGCATTTAATCTCTAGTGATTACATTTAGTTTACCTTAACCTCGTTGCTTTAGGTTACATTATGCGTTTTGTCTTGTTTTGTTTGTCTATGATCTTTACATTCAAAATAACTCAATTTTCACAGTATGAACCGCAAACCTGGGCAGAGATTAACGAAACTTCGCTAAGTATACGTAACTGTTCGTACTTACGTTCAAAAAGTTACGTATTGCCTAAGTCAGTCAAAATTTGGCATTAACAAAACTGTCTTACGCTAGACTTATCTGAAAAGGTATTATCGAAACCATCCAAGTAACTGACCAATCAGAGGCTTCGAATTTGCCATTCCTAGCTCCTGCCTCCTGTCGATTCAGTTCGCAGTTGTACGTAGCTTCCCGCGCAAATGTTTTGATAATACCACCGCTAGAGTTACTTCTTCATATCAGCCCTTACGCCATACGTAAGTCGCTACGTGTACTTAGCGATGTTTTGATAATCCGGCCCCTGGTGCGTAGCTGCATGGTGGCGGAGCAGCAGCCGCGACTTACCTGTTGCCGAGGTTACTACACTTGACGCCGTTCCAGCAATTAACTATCTCTTGGCTTTACCTTTTGGCACAATTGAAACCGTCCCGGCTCCAGAAATTCAATAAGTTTCCAAGCTTGAAGATAATATTCAGACTACTAAATTCAATACATTTTCTCAGAAGTTATATTTGCTTCACTACCTTGAATAAAGATACGATTGTATGAAATTATTATTATGAAATTATTATTAGTTGATTCAACCACCGAATGCCTGCTGGGTAATGTCTTTAGAGTTAAAGTTTGAATCATGGAGTACTTTCCAAATGCCAAACTCCGGATATTGTTGGTGAATAATTACAAGATCAGCTCATTCTTCAGGATATAAAGATAGACTCCCTGACTTAATGCAATTGCCTCTAAGTTTCCATATTCAGTTGCGCGCAATGCGCATAAACCTACGTCGTTACAACGTCACACAACTTTTATTCAAGAGTGGCTGAGCATAAGGGAAGGAGTTGTCGAATAGCAAATTTACTTGAAAATTCCCGTCATTAAGCAGTGTCGAGTTCATGCCGAGCAGTGCGGTCTCCAATAGCGACTTCAAAATCTTAGCTTTTACTACCGGTCTTTCTGACTTCTTAATTTTAGCATCTATTTATATTTTCAAACAGAAGCCATGCTTAAATTCCGCAATCAGTTCCCATTTCCTTGAGATTGTTACCGGATAGGTCAGTTTTGATGTTTATTTTTGCTTGATTAGTCTTTTATTTGTCGAAATTATGTTTTAATGTCTTACTTTCAATTTTGGATTATAAAATGATTGTATTTACTTTCTAGGCTTGCGAACTGTCGATGAAGCTGGACTCTGAAACGTTTTCCTTTATAAATATATGGTGAATTTCTGTGGCATCTTCATTGTATTTTAATTTCATGTATATGCCTAATCAACAATTATTTATCGCTAAAGGTGTGGTCAACAGTGATTCCTTTCACTTATCATAATTATTTTACTCATTTTCTTTTCACAATAATTGTCTTAAGTAGTCGTAATTTTTTACGGAAGATAAATATTTTCTATTACCGTTGAAATTTAACTTGTAAAATTCTCTATAAATGCATAGCAAAGAACTTTTGCAAACCGCGCTCTGTTCCAAAAACTTATTGCAAACACGAGTAATGAGATCAGCAATTTTGGCAAGTGAAGTTTCGCGGTCGTATGTGAGTAACTTCACTAAGTTCATAAGTTTTATTAACACAACAAAAACGACCGGCTTTACTTTGTCGCGTCCTGTAAATTGGGTTCAAATAGTTTTCATGGTCTTGTTACGTCTGAGCTACTTGCATGTTCATAATAATTCATTGTACATTTTTCACTTAATCTGTTATCTTTCAGGAAAGAAATTCAGAAATATGTCAATACGAAGTAAGCTAGAGAACTTAATCTTAAAGCTAGTGGTGATCACAACTGCTGCTCTGGTTCTGACGGTGTTGATGAGTCACGCAGGAAATCTTCATTCTCCAGACAGCTACACAGTTCAAGGTTCCCAAATACATGAGCAGCTAGTGATTTCTCTCACTTTACATGAAAAATGTCGATTTCTGCTCAATTTTATTTGTAAAATAGTATAGATACATATTTTTCGTAATTTTTAAATTATTATGCATAATATATCTTATAAAAGCTTATACTATATCTTAAGACTTAAGCCATGCACATGTTCGATAGCTATATTGGAAGGAATCGGACGTTTTTTAACCGAATGAACTGTTAGTTTAACTTTGCTAAAATGCAAATAATGCTTTTAAACTCACATTTTAGAGTTAATTAAACAAACATGTTCACGAAAATTCAGAACTCATTTCATTCTTATATTTTTTAACAGGACACGTCGGAAATCATGAATTTTCACCAACGAAGCTACAAAATTTGAGTGTAAAGAACAGTGATCTCTCAAACTCCTGGAATACTTGTCAAAACAAAGTAAGAAAATTCTCATCCTGCAAAACTAATTATCAAATTTTCAAGTTCTTTAGTTGAAGCAAACAATTTTATTCAGAACGATGAAGCAATATTTCACCACTTATGGCAAGCAGAAAAACACAGGTAAGGGAGATTAACTGCTTAGCAGATGATTTAAAAGCGGATTTGTTTCGTCGATGTTGCTACTTTTACTCCTTATCTGTGAGAGCTTCTCAACATGATTCAAGATTTTTACTCTGTGTAGCAAAGTATCTATGCAGGGTGCTCCTGGTATATTTCCTGGGTTATTACGACATGACAACTAACATTGCTCTGTAGCGAATATTGTTGGTAGCAGGCTATTAAAACCCAATTACTTTAAAATAGCTACGAATGTTCAGGAGTCTAGATTTTACACCCTTAATATCAACATGCTTTGCCTGCTTCAGCCGAAGAAATTGTAAAAAACAGTATGAATGATGTCGATTTTCGCTAAAATTTGTCTATAAACCACAGAAGGCTTATAAACATAAGTATTCTGTCAAATCAAGCTTTCAATGGTGGCAGTGAAATTTTTCACAGCAATACACAACTAATAAATCAATGTTCGTTAATAACCGTACGTATTAAATCTACTAATATCCATTAAGACTTTAACCAAGTCCATTTAATTCCTGATTTAGAGCGTAAATATTTGATCCCTTCAATAATTTTTGTGCATGTATCCCTACAGATCGGCGAACTCGAACGACGCCTGGCAAGCATTTCAAACGCCCTTGAGCGTCTGTGGTGTGCTACCAAGGATGTCATGAGCAACGGTGGATTTTGCATCACTGCTGACAGAATTTACACGGGTTTCAATTACTTTTTTGACCCTGAAGTGAGAGTTTTCAAATTAAAGCAAAATTGAGCTTCAAAAAGCTCCCGGCACTGCCTTTCCTTGTTTACATGTGTTTCCTTTGGATGTCATGAGCAACGGTGGATTTTGCATCACTGCTGACAGAATCTACACGGGTTTCAATGATTTTTTTGACCCTGAAGTGAGAGTTTTCAAATTAAAGCAAAATTGAGCTTCAAAAAGCTCCCGGCACTGTCTTTCCTTGTTTACATGTGTTTCCTTCTCTACATAGTAGGTAGTCAGTTCGATGAATTTAAATATTTTGAAAATTAGAGCGGTTGATTTCATAAGAAGATAAAATGAAACTTATTTGCGTTGAAAGAAACCAATTAAGGCTATCGTGTATTTCATTCGTTCCAGATGTGCTATTTCGTGGAGGTTTTGGTGGGCAACGCCTCGGTTGTGGATTTCGGTGCCGGACTCGGCAAGTACGGCATGTGTTTCCTGCGTAAAAGTCAAGCTGAATATCAACTGGACGATAAACAACAAAAGGAATACATCGCAGACATAAATAAGGATTTTCATGACATTCAAAAGAAGCCACAAATTGTATATTCATGGCATGGTCCGTATATATTAATTTTTTTAGCTGTTTTAATGCAGCGTATCTTAAAACGTTTCAATTCATTATTTCCAACTGGTATGGGGTGGTAAAAAATTACATGATAAATAAGACTATGAATTCCAGTGGCCGATCATTCGAAGACTAGATCAGATAATCAGATAATGATCAGATAGATCATTCATTCTTATAACAAATAGACTTTTCACAATCGACTGTGTTTTGAGCGTATTTTACACAAATAACTCGTTACTCAATATCTTTTGCATTGCAAAGAAAAATATCAGTTCCTTGCTCAGCATAAATATATTATATTAAATATTGTTATATTAATCATTCAACATAAAAAGTTTTACTTTTTTTGAAGATAAAGCTCACCATGAGCCATTTTGCGATGTTATTTTCTTCTCTGAAGGATATGACGGGGGCCTCGCCATCGAGGAGGTGAGCGGCGGCTTCATCGCGCACGCCGACCTCAGCGAGGAGGGCCTCTGGCTCGGCAGGAAGTGGGACTGGGTGATGAGCATCGAGGTTGGGGAGCACATCGATCCTAAACATGAAGAACATTTCCTCGATAACCTCGTGCGGCATGCCTGTGCAGGTAATGAAATAGCCGCCATATACAAGGGTATTATTTTAATTTAGAGGAAACATCGGAAAATGGTTCATGGCGAGCTTTTTGTTCAAAAAGTAAAACTTTTAAGCTGAATGATTAATATCACAATATTTAATATAATATATTTATGCTGAGCAAGGAAGAGATATTTTTCTTTGCCATGCAAAAGATAATGAGTAACGAGTTATTTGTGTAAAATACGCTCAAAACATAGTCGATTATGAAAACGCCACTTGCTATAAGAATGAATGATCTATCTGATTTTTTTCAGGAATAATTCTGACTTGGGCTGTGGAGGGTCAACCCGGTCACTATCACGTTAACAACCACAACAACGACTACATCAAGCAGAAGATGCGAGATAGAGGCCTCATTGTGGACGAAGAGGCCGAAAAACTTTTGAGACAAATGCTGAAGAACCACTTGGCAAAAACTTCTATGGTTTTTCGAATTCCAAAGCCGAAATCATGCCTAACTAAGTAAAAATTTTATTTTAACCTAACTTCAGCGTGTCATCAGTTTAGGCTTCAGAGTCCCATTGAAACAATATATCTGTTTGAAAAATATATTTTTGTAAGGTGGCAGAGTGAAAAATTTGTAAATGGCTAATTTGCAAACCTTTCTGGGTTAGCTGTTTCTTCATTGGTTGAATTTCTAATGTTAGATAATACGATGCAAATGTTTCAGTGATAAATCAAGTTGACGTTTTCTCAACATAACATAACATAGTGATCTCGGCTATGAAGTGTAGGCCTGATGTGGCCTGTCGCCGAATCGTGAATTTTCCGTGACTTGATCATAGAAGATCTAAAATCTTGCCATTTGACCGGATATTTTCATGACTGACGATAGTTTGAAATAGCTACGACTTACACCAGTTTCGATATGGTGCTAGGCATTTCAAATCTGAACACATATTTTTTCCCATAGCTTTATCTAGTCTGTTTTTTAACGCGTTCATACTTGGAGCGCCAATGATGTCATCGAAAAGGCTGTTCCACATGTCGGTGATTCGAAGCGAGAAGAAATGTTGTCGCGTGTAGAAGTTGCAGCGCAGTTTTTTTAGTTTATAGCCGTGGCACCTGGTGTTGGTTCTTGTTTCAAATTCTAGTAATCCTTCGGGGACCTTGTATAAACCATGAGTATACTTGTATGCTTCAATGAGGTCCCCACACAGACGTCGATATCTGAGGCTTGGAAGCTTCATAATCTTTCATCTTTCTTCGTAGGACTTGTCCTTCAAGCCTGGAATTATCCTTGTTGCACGCCTTCGAACATTTTATATTAAATTTGTGTCTTTTTCAAATCTCGGTGACCAAGCAATTTTTCCAAACTCTAGAGTCGGGCGCACGACAGCAACAAATAACTGCTTCATCGCTTCTGCATCTAGGAACTCGTATGAGCGTCTGATTAGTCCAAGAAGTTTGTTGGACGTGTTAGCTTGCGTTTCAACATGCTTAGAAAATTTCAGCTCCTTGTCGACATACACTCCGAGATCTTTTTCCACAGTAGACTTTTCAATCATTACTCTCTCGTTGCAACCATGTCTTCTCATACTGTGTTGTCGTCTACCTACTAGAAAATCTATGATCCATTGGAGTACGTTTCCCTCAATTCCCAAAGACTTTACTTTACGCAACAGCCGCTCATGCGGAACACTCAAATGCTTTGGCAAAATCGAGGTACAATGCATCCACTGGCTCCTCTTCGTCCAGAAGGCGAGTCCAATCGTTCAACGTAGTCAATAAGTTAGTAACGCAGGATCTACCGCAATAAAACCATGTTGACAATCTGATAGTAGATGGTGAGCAGTCAAGTGATCGGTAAATAATCCTATCCCTCGCAACAGATTCCATTACCTTACAAACAACATTTGTCAGACTGACAGGGCGATAGTTACCGGGGCTACTTTTGTCACATTTTTTGAACAATGGTGCTACTTGAGCTTCTTTCCAGTCGGACAGCAAAGTTCCTCCGTTCAAGGTTTTTTGAAAGAATACTGTCAATGGGCCGGCCAGAACGGTTGCTAATTCTTTGAGCAATCTGGGATGGAAGCCGTCTGATCCACACGACTTATTGGGATTTAGAGCTACCAGGTACTTTAGAACCTTTTCTTCGTGTATATCAAAACCTGTTAACTTCGAGCTGACTGGGCGCTCCTCAATATCTGGAATACTGTTCAAGTCCTCATCTGTGAACACAGTGCTGAAGAACTGATTAAGAACGTTAGCCTTGCCCTCATCAGAGGATAATTTTCGTTGGTCTACTTTCACGTCAGATAAACCGTAGTTTGTCTTGCACTTCGAACTAGCGTACAAAAAGGCTTTCAGATTATTTTTTGCATTTTTAGCAATATTTTTTTAAAAATTTTTTACTGCAGTGCGCCAGACTTTTTCAGCTTGATTTTGAGCTCTTGCATACAGGTTATAATCAGAATCGCTGCGAGTTCGTAAATAACGCTTATAGGCTTCTTTCTTGGTCTTTAGCTGAGCTTTAACTGTACTGTTCATCACTGGGACTTCTTGACTCCTCCAAGCGTAATCCTAGGTACACAGGTATCAACTGCTGACATAACCGTGTCTTTGAGAAATGATGCATATGAATTAGTCACATTCATGTCCTTAATACAGTCTGAAATATTCGCCGCATTCACCGCTTCACGCAGTTTATCATAGTCACACTACGCAAAGTTCAAACGTTCACGCTTCCGAAGCGTATTTTCTGTACAGCACTTAATACTGATAAACAATGATTGGTGGTGGCTTTTGCCCAACGGAGCCTCGTGGCGAAGCTCATCTATCATTGATTCTTCACTAGTAAACACTATATATAGAATATTTGTGGTCTGTTTACCCCTAAAATGGGTTGGCTTGGTGATGTTCTGGATTAAAAATGAGTCTCGCACAGACTCCAAGAACAGGGATGCTGGGTGATTCCCATCTCTTGGAGAAGATTCATCTGCCCAGTCTGTTTCTGGATGGTTAAAGTCACCAACGATCAAAGTATATGACCTGCTGAAAGTCATGCTCGGTCAAAGGCCGTTTAGTACATTATTGTTCTCAGAGGAGCTGTTAGGTGATCTATAAAGGACCCCTATGAGGAGGCTATCCTTGCTTTTTAGATTAAGTTCGCACCGCACTGATTCTCTAGCTGATTGATGCTCTGCAGATAACTTAACTTGCTGGGCCCCATTAGAGGTTCTAACCCACAGAGCTACACCTCTACTGCACCGCTCTTCATTTAAGTTATGAAAACAATCAAAACCTGGCAGCTGAAATTCAGCAGGTACAATTTTTCACCCGTGATATTTAGGGAGTTTTTCTGTAATACAAATAATGTCTATACACTCGTTTGCGATCACAGTTAACAGTTCACTTTTTATTATTATTTTTAATATTAAATAATGATATTAAATTAAATATCTATTATATAATTCTTTAAATTAAATATGGACAACACCTTTATTCCAGTTTGAGGTCAGAGGGCAGAGTTTAGCTATGTCAGTCTCAGAAAGTGTCTGGCACACACCCGCACGACTAAGTGGTACCGATGACTTACGTTTCATAAAAAGGCTGAAGCTGGTGCAGTCGGCTGAAGCAGGTGAGTGGTCCAACATGGGGCTCAGGAGAACATACTGACTTGGGGATCTTATATAGCACCTCATGACTCCCATCACGTGCGACGATGAAGCAGTACCTGAACTCAGGTCATAGCGTCCTTGGTTACATTGATAACAAATCGAAAGCCGCAGGAGGACTGATCACAGGATGAGGTGCTAGAGAAGAGTTACTTGGTTAAGATGAGGCGCGTCACCTTCTTGAGTATTGGCGCCCCAGATGCTAGAGAAGACTGTAGATGGTTAGCCGAGAGACTTGAAGTTTAGTTCCATTCAAAGGGAATCCCGAAACCGCAAGCCTCTAATACCTCAAAATCGCTAAGGTGGTGCCAGGCATTTAATGTAGTTTAACTGAAACACGGTACTGAAATTAATCATGTAATGAAAATTATAGTTTCAAGTTTAGTTTTAGCTCAGGCAATCAACGAACTCTTTGCAAGCTTAAAGTTAAATTTTAACGATAACCTTAAAACTATAATATTTTCGACAGTATCATAGACGGGGTATTTGGAATGATTGCTAGTACATATAATTAATGTATAATTATTAATTGTGCTAAATATGAAACAAAGCTAATTTAGAAATCATCTGCAAGAATGGTTTATAACCCATGCAAAATGTAATCAGAACCTTGTTTTCGATTTTTTATCGATGAGGTACTTTGTCATGAAAATATAGCCTTGAACAAAAGGTTTTTATTAAATGAAAAATATTTTTCCTCTTCCTAATTTAATAAATGTCCGCGCTCTGAAGGCATCGTTGTAAGGCATCGAAAGCTTCCAAAAATATTTCGAATATTATATATATGATAACAATTGTCAGTGGGTTCTAAGCCCCCAGAAGTTACGCTCAAAGCATTTTCTGCTCCCACGAGATGTTTGTAGAGTGGGACCTTGATTTCGAAAGGAGATGTAACATTTTGAGCTTGATAGAACAGAAATTAAGTAACATCCCACTCTTGACTCCGTACGTATGTGATGCTAACATCGAATCAATGCGATCTTAGCTGTGAGCCTGTGTTATGTCTTTCAATATAAGATGATGGATATGCTCATTGATAATAAGTTTGTACATAACCATAATAATTATCTAATTACCATCAGATGAAGAACATTTTTCTATTTCACCTATTTAATCATTTCGGCGCTTCATTCAATAATTCTCTCACAGGTTAACTGAAATCAAATTTTCTTGAAAATATTTGTTATTGTTTTCAGAAAATATTTTTATTCACAATAGATTCTTCCGTTACAATTTTACTATGTCAGCTCCTTCGGTTTTATTTTGATAATAATCTTCGTTCGGAGGTCAAATTTACATAAATCATTAGAAATTTAAAAGCGAAGAAAACACCACAAAAATTCAGCATATCTTCATTGAAAACGTTTCGGAGACCAGCTCCATCGTCAGTTCGATAAATCTAGAACACAAATAAAGTCAGAAAATTAATAAAGTTTGGAGTAAAAAAAAACACAGAAGTTAAAAACCTAAATTTATAGACAAAGGGCCGAATAATAAAGTAAGTACCTATCTATTCACAATTTCTAATGGATAAGAACTATAGGCAGCATTCAAACTAGGCTTCTCTTCAAAAATATGCAATGATTCCAAAATACGCAGATCGGAAGCACCAGAACTAAAAGCTAAAACCTTAAAGTCAGTGCTGGACACTGGAACGTTGCACTGTTCGGCGTGAGTGCACACATCCGAATAAGGAGGGCGCGATAGTAACTGCTCAGTCCTATAACTCCTCCCTCTATGCTCAGCGACCCTAGTGTAAAAGTTGCGGGCCGTCATCCCAACGTACGCAGATGCACATCGTGCACAACTAAATTTATAAACTAGGGACGATCGCATGTGAGAAGGGAGGATATCTTTGTACCTAAAAAATGAACCTATTTTGAAATTATTCACAAGTAAGATACGAAGATTAATGTACGGAAAGTATTTCATAAACACATCTTTTACTTCTCTTGACATAACTTCTGACGTATGGCCGAAATATGGACGGGAACAGTAAACAACGTTTCTACTATCTGATTAGAATAGGAAAATCCTTTTATTCCTAATTGCATATAATTTATGTGTTGAACTTTGATTTGAGTTCGATATTCGCTCTCGCTATTTCTTGGACTGTACTCTTTAAAGCCTACGGCAAGTTATCAATTTTTAGTTTATCCTCGGCAGAGTTTCTTTTTCATAAAACATTTTAAACTGTCAGGTTGGTTGTACTTTACATTGTCCGAGTGGTCAAACGAGGAGCGTTGAAGGTTCTCTACTGCTGGCAATGCGATTTAACAAGGAGAATGACACGAACATTGATCAAACTTCATATACTAGAAAAGAAAATACCCTACGCCTAGTTACAGAGCTAGGAAAGGTGAGAATGACGAGTGCACAGGCTTACTTGCAGAAGAATCAATCCTATCCTATACCGATCTGGGCATGAGACAACAACCTTAAACCTAATTACTAACAGGCCCGGAATTGTAAATCGCTTAGGAATCGCTTAGGAAGAGAAAATCCCTTGGCGAATCCATTAAATCTCCGCCTGCGAGACTGGTCAATCTCAGCTCTTGACGATGCGCTCTGGGCGAGGTTCACTGGAGATTCAGGAAACTTGCAGGCCACTCCGGTGAATCTATTCGCAGGTCGATTATTCCCAGTTAAAATTTAGGGCAGGGAATAGAGCAGGCCGTCGCCGGCTGCAGAGCCGGCGTAGAGACTTGAACTAGATGGAGGATGAAGTTCATTCTCCCGTCACTGTTTCCAACCCCTACCACTCCTCCCTCTCTCAAAACCCCCCCATACACGGCCTGCGTATCTGCTCTGTACAGCTCCCTGCCGGGCAATCCCAAGTACCAGCGCTAAAACAGCGCAGAGCTCCGTCCCTGCCGAGCTGCTAGAATTTTGTCTCTATATCAGCCATGGCGCAGCGCAGTTTTAGGGATAGATGGCCGGTTATAGTTTCACGGCTCCATCCTGCTAAAGCGCGACCAGCCCGGCTAAACCCGGCGCCGGTCTCGGCTCAAAATTTTAACTGGGTTCTTCTCCGGAATTCGTAGACGTTGACTTCAGGAATAAACTATCTTCGTCGATAAACGTAGTGCTCAAATAGTTCCCCTGAGCAGGACTTCGTCGATTAGAATACGAGGACTTCTTCCCAGTCATTGAATTCTTCGTTGCCCGGCGGTTGTCGGTAAACGGCGTGCTAAATAGTCGATGCTCACGATATTCGTCTCGATTCTCCCAGTTATCTCCTTCGTCGCAATTACTTGCAACCACTTTACAATTGCGTCCACGATACGTCCGACTGCCTCTAACACCGGAACGGGACTGACTCGCGGTGGGCCCGCTCGCTCTTAAATACCCCCCCGGTCTCGCGCATGCGCGCTAGACGGCTCGAGCTCCTCCCCTTAATTCAAAATTTGCTTCTAATCATCAATCCCTATTCTTATCTTATTTATAATTTATTCCTATTCCTAATCATAGCAGGCTCTGGAACAACTTCACTGTATCGCATAGACATGAATTTCTTAATCTGGTTAAACACCAAGCCAGAAGGAAATCTATTAAGCGAGTAGGTATTGCGCAAGAATTCAAATTCTGAATGCATGGCATGGAAAGTCGAGCAAATGCGAAAGCCGCGGTGTAATAGTGTTTGAAGCCCGTTTAGCTTGAATCTAAAAGAACAAAAACTAAAAAAGCTGGTGCTTAAGCCGGTGAAAGTTGATTTTCTGTAAACAGATGTTTGAAAACGGCCGATTTCAAACATCTGTTGTGCATCTGCGTTGTGCATCAAACAGTGCATCTGCGTATATACGTTGGGATGACGGCACGCAACTTTTACACTAGGGTCGCTGAGCATAGAGGGAAGAGTTATAGGACTGGGCAGTTACTATCGCGCCCTCCTCATTCGGCTGTGCGCCGATCGGAAAAATTCTGGTGCTTCCGATCTGTGTATTTTGGAATCATTGTATATTTTTAAAGAGAAGCCTAGTTTGAATGCTGCCTATAGTTCTAATCTATTAGAAATTGTGAATAGATAGGTACTTACTTTATTATTCGGCTCTTTGTCTGTAAATTTAGGTTTTTAACTTCTGTGTTTTCCTTACTCCAAATTTTATTAATTTTCTGACTTTATTTGTGTTCTAGATTTATCGAACTGACGATGGAGCTAGTCTCCGAAACGTTTTCGATAGAGATATGCTGAATTTTTGTGGTGTTTTCTTCGCTTTTAAATTTCTAGTGAATCTGTGATGAATGCAATCTAGTGACGTTATTACTTGTGTACATGAATCATAAATCAGGTCAGAAGAGAAGTATTGAATCTCGTCACATAGCCAACCGTTTTTGAAGCCTTTTCCTGTCCTACCCAATAAAAATTAAGGGTGGTGCACCGATGATTATAGGTGGCAATAGCAGTTTATAGGTGGCGTAACTGTGGGTGGCCAGATCTGTCAAAAATCGACAATAAAACATCAATAAATCGAGAGGATGGCGAGTATAGGAGACAGTCATCGATGAATCATTGATGAAGTATAGGGTCTGAATAATCGGTAGCGCATTGCAGGCAAATCTCTTTTAAGCCACTGAAAACCGTTTGCCTACACTCTGCACGAATGTTGCGGGTCATTCGAGATCAAGACGAAACCATGACTTCGTTCTGTGTGCTTGGCTTTTAAGATTAAGTTGTGTCGAGAAAATTTTGCAGGAATTCGGTAGGTACCAATAAAACTGACAGACAGAGGAAAGGATTTCACAAAATTTTCAAGCCAAAGTAAAGCTACTGTCCAGGCATCAGACTGTTCCTGATATTAATTGTCGAGGAACAATGGAAAATTTTGTTGCAATAAATACAGTTTTTCCATTGATGACAACGAATCCAATTTCTCATGTTCACCTGAAATAGTGCGTAAATTTATTGTGAATTTTGCGTATGCGCCAATTGGCTGTGTTGGAAATATTGTGATCAATTGAGACTAATTATACAATTATTGCTTCATTAAGTATAAATTGTATGGGTCGATTAAGTGTGTTCCATAATATTTTCAATTTTCTCAAGTTGCCCCATTTATCTAAATTCAAAAGCCACGTTGACGTAGTCGACAGCGGCTCGGCATCTTTGTAAAGCACAGCGGAGACATCAAGCGCAGCGAGAGATGAGTCCAGTAAGCACACGTTCATACCGGTTGGGTTGACGCGCGGGTTGACTTGACGCGCGTCGGCGTTGAGCTTCCTACTAATCTTTACCTCGTCCTGCTTGGAACATTTGCTTTCCGGGTGATTTGCTCGTCACAAAAGTATCCTTTTTACGCAAAGGATACGAGTAAAAATTCGGTTTTAAATCCTGACTTCGATAGTGAAATTTAATATACAGTCAGATAATTATTTCGAATTTAAGTCTAAATTTCTAATAAAGTGGCCCGGTATCTTTCCTAAGCAAAAGACTAAAGACTAGGCTAGAGAAAAATAGTGACTAGAAGTGGAGCAGGTATTTCACGCCTGACATTTCAAAATAATCATGTAATATCAATTCCTTATATCACGTACGAATACTCTTGGTGATAATATATCGAATTAAACCGCAGTCACAATTGGTGTAATGTTCACATGACGAAACTTCGATACTTATTAAGCATTTTCCCGTAGCCTTTACTATGAGCTGAACAATCGTTCGTTATGGATAAATGAAGCGTCTTTTAGCGGCTGTTTAATCAAATATGGCAGCATATTCAAATAAAATTGTAGATGGAACCATCTAATCATCACGGTGGTAGCATTAACTTTCCCCATTTGATGAAATTAATATTTGCAATACTTCAGTTAAATCTTTCGAAATTACTCGACTGCCGTGTCCTCTCCGATGGCTCAACGGCAGAGGCTCGGCTTCGCGTGCGGGAGACCGGAGTTCGAATCCTGCAAGCAGGGAGTTCCTTCAAGTCGATTTCTCACGAGGGATGTGTATGGTACTCTGATAATTTGTTCCTGCCACATGTCTGACATTGTTGCTTGTTCTGCCATGGTAGATGAGCATACGTAGCCCTTAGAATGGTGATTGAATGAAGCAATAGCAGTAAATGCAGAAACATCGGATTTGAAATTGAAGGAAAAATTTTTATTGACTTAATTTTATGGGTGGCCATCGGTGACTCACTGATGCGCCACCGGTGCCAATGGGTAGTTATTAGCGGAAGAAGAGCTTTACGGGTAGGGGGGCCATCGGCAGGTTATAGGTGTGGGATAGGTGGTGCACGCCACCCTTAATTCACTGCATAAATCATAGTTGCTTCACCTATATGGCGTCCTCCGATAGCCATCATAAAAACATAGGTGCTCCACTCTTAATTTTTATTTGGGTAGAAGACTTTCAAGCGGGAGCTTTTTCCTCGTTTGCTTTATTACCTTCCTCTTACTGCAACGTCGAGAAGGAAGGCGGCTGCATTGGCTTTCATATCGTCCTCCACATTCTGCTTTGCAAAACCAAGACATACATTATTCTTGTTCACATAGAAAAAGCTTGTAAAAATTCAAGTAAATCGTTTTTGGAGTATCAAATGCGGAGCTGGAGAGATAAATTCATTCACCTAGGAAGCAGCACTACAATCATGCTACAGAGCCAATTGAATTTAATCAATAGATTTTATGCAGTGAAAAGCATCCTGCTTCTATCATGTGTTTCCTTGTTCTCACTCATTGGCTTTTACAAGCCCGTGCAGTTCGTCGAACTGATGAGCTCCAGCATAGTGCCGCCCGTCAATGAAGGTAAGAGCTTCCTAGTGACCTCCAAGTCCAAATATTATGGTGAAAATTCAGAGATACATACATTTCCGTCATTGGAATAATAAAATATCGGAATTGGATTTGCTGTGGTTTCAATTAAACTTAGGACCCTAAGGTAATATTTTTCATTAACTTAAATTATCTACGTAACACGTATAATTCTCACTTGTATCTTGTGCGATACAATACAATACTTCCATCCTACATTGGTCCGATGAATCGATGTGCAAACGAAAATAAGAATTAACTAATACGTTTCCATAAACGGTAATGTGTTGTTTTTAAAACAATTTTCTCTCCGTTCACACATCGCCAATTAATGCACTTCCGAGCATAGCAAATATTTTCAAGAGGAGCAAAATCTGTTAATATTTGATTCAGAATCTATTTTGTCAAAATTAAGCAGACGCAGTGTCTCGAGACCCTTTACCGAAGCGATGGTAAGCTATTATGTCGCAAGTTTATTAGAAATATCAAAATTGTTTCTATCAACTACAAACCGACAAAAGGCATTGAATTGGTTTCGGGAAATAGGTTTCATTCCCAATAATTATTAATATTGATCATTTCCGTCGACGTCGGCGGGATTGTCGCTTTCATTGACGAAATACTGTCGTTCAGTATCGGCATAGCGTTTAAAACGCCCTCTGTGAGCCACAGTACCGCCGCTCGGCCGGCTATCGGCGCGGCCACAACCACGTCACTGCCGAACAGCAGGCACACCTGAGCTCGTCGTCAGACGGCGCTGGCCAGCGCCACAACGATGCGTAAACGCGGACAGTGCGGAGGCACCGCTAGATGGCCTGCTAATCGCATACGGTCAACTGCGAAGAGAAGGGGCCATGAATTAGCCGTTGAACAACGTGGAAGCCATGAGCAACGTCGTTTCGATTCGTTGGTTCAAAACTCGTCTAAGGTACAAAAATGCGAGAACAAACGCGGAATTTAAGTAGTAAAATTTAATTACAAAATCAAGTTCGAAGGTCTCAACAATATGAAACAAAATCTCTTTATATTTGTTTGGACCTAATTATATTCAAGATAAATTGATGATCTGACATGGGTTCATTAAAATTGAACAGCGACTTGATTGAAGTGACAGGACACAGAACGACATTGAAATTAATGTCCTCATATAATCCCCACATATTTCTAAGAGTAGGAATTCAACCCATTTAACGGTTATATAATGCGTATACGTATGTTATACATTCATGTTACAGTGCACTCCCCTTATTTTTGCAATTGAACGTTTTTCAAGTGCAGGTTTTTCTGTTAGCAGGTACCACAGGACTTCCTTTTTTACAACACTTCTCTTTAACTACACTTCTTGTTTGTTTGTTTATTCGCTTGTTTGTTTGTTTGTCTGTCTGCTACAAATCTTATACCCGATATTTAACACACTTCTACCTGTCCAATCAATCTGAAATTTTGCACACTAGCGTAAAGTCGGAGACAATGCATATATAAATTTTAAATTTTTTCTTATTCTGAAAATGGAATAAAAAATTAACTTTTTAATATTTCAAAATAAAATTAGAAAGTCATTGTACATTTGTAACATCGGGGACACTAGCTTCTTTAGAAGTTTTATCTTTAAAAAGTATTTTTAAACGCATTTTATTATTCAATCAATGAGCTGGCCGTATGAAGGCCACTTCCTAAATGCCCTGATATAGAGCGCCTGTATGCAGCCAGCCATCACTGCAGAGAATGACATGTAGGCAGCGCGCTGACGCACTCACAGCCTCAGCTGTCGAGACTACCGTTACTTGTACACGGGGATAGTACTAGCGGCTAGTAGAATAGAAAATTGCCAAATGTCCGCCGCTTGGTGTCTAAGCTTTTGCGGGATAGACACCAAGCGGCAGACATTTGGCAATTTTTTGATCTACTAGCCGCTAGTACTATCCCCGTGTACAAGCACCAGTACGCCAGGCTGAGGCGTCGATGCAACCCCAGCCAGTGGCCCTAATTAGGTGCCAAACAATCTTTTAATTCCACCACAACCGTGGTACTGATGCGGCATCGACGCGACAGTGGATAGGATACGAATATGTTACGAATACAGCACTCAATAGCCCTTTCCAGAAGCAACAGCCCTAAAGAACAATAGCACTTACTTGTTAACCGAGTAGAAAGCTCCAGGTGCTATATTTAAATGGTTGTAACATGGCTTGTTCCCATTTGTCCCTTTCTAATTTAGTCATATCTATTGAAAAGTATATCAAATTTATTTTTTTGTAAAATTTGTCATTATTTTTTCATGATCGCAAGATTTTTGTTGTAGCCTTGGTTAGTAATATGCACCCTTGTATGCAGTGCGTACAAAATAAAAAATAAAATTTGCTTGGAGCGAGAGAACGAATGAATTCATTTATAATTGCAGAGTGAAGGCAGAACTTCAAATATATAGAATCCATACTAAAAACGCCGGCAAAGTGTGTGGAAAAGTCCACTTCCACGTTTGTGGCATCAGTATAATTTTCCCGTTAGTAAGCTGGTATTTAGAAACGGTTCTTTAGTGTAGCATGCAATGAATATGTTTTACTTATAATGAAACATTTATATCATCTTTACATTCCTATAGCCTAGCTTACTTATTTGTAGCATGTTCGATTGTTTTGTTCAGTGCCTTTCAAAAGCCTCTAAAATAATTTTTAAATTGATGTTTTGATTTTCATATGTGATTGATGATTTTCCTCTTTTCATGATTTTCCTCGGCGAAGACCGAGGAAAATAAAACCCGAGATTTCATCTGATGAAATTAATTAATAAACATGACATTTCACTCCAAGTCACTGGTTAGTAAACAAGCCATCACTCACGAAAATGAGCCTTACCAGGCATTTTCAAACTTCAAATTTGACATCACCATTCAAATAATTCAAAGATGCAAAGATGCTCCTTGATGCAAATAAAACTTGTAACTCATGCCCCGCATGATCGGTTATCAGAATAACGCTATCTCCGGTGATGACGACGGACGATTTAATCAATGTCAGTATAACTGCTTTTATTGCCACAGATTTCGTGGGTCTGGACGCGGATGACCCGAGATTGATCGATTACATCCGCCAACACGTCATCGTGCCTCCCTCCACCGAACCCTACAATTTGTATTATGGGATCAACCATGACCCTTCAGACGGCCAGTCGAAAGTTGTTGACGAACTACTAAATCGAAAGGTGGTATACATCTTACTGTTATTTGAAATATACTGTTACGGTTACAGTTGGAAATTCGACCTCATTTGAGATTTCTGAGAAAAAATTAATTATCTAAACATTGATATTTAGGCGAAGCAATTTTATCCGAATAGATGTTCAGAAATGAACTATTTATTACATGAAACAGTCTTAATTTCTCAATGAAACTGTTGAAAACTCTGGAATCTCTTACATGAAACTGTTTGCTTTTTCAGAGACATTCAAGTCTTTTGAATAATAATCTAGTAATTTTTTTAAACAGCGAAATGGTTTTTACATCGAGAGTGGAGGTTACACGGGCGAAGTGGTGAGCAACACTTTATTTTTTGAAATTAATCGAAATTGGACCGGGATCCTGATTGAGCCTAACCCGAGGAACTTTGCGAAGTTATTGTCTAGGAAGCGAAAAGTGCACTCAGCTAAAGCGTGCATTGGAGAAACCAAATCAGCTGACAAGGTGAGAGAAAATAACAAAGAAAAAGAGAAAACACTCGATAAAATAAGCGCAACCAAATAATTCCTGATTTTAAAATTGTCAAAACACGAAATAGAAGATCCAAATAGTAATAGAAGGGCATCGTTGATGGGCTATCAAAAATATCAAGCCTGCATGAAGCCTAGTGAGTGTTACAGAGCGCAGGACACCGAATACCATATAAGATCAATTCAAATCTCATATTCTATTATACCGTACTGTTTTTAGCGCATTTTCTCCTTTATGGAAAAAATGCCCTATTGTGCTCGTCATGTCCGTCCGTCCGTCTGTTTGTCCGTTCGTCACGTGACTTCACGTTTTCGTCGACGAGAAAATGGGCTCTCTGTCACTCACTGCAGTGAGTACTGAGTTATTTTATTTAGGCCTTTCGCCAATTCTCGAAAAATTATAAGGTGTAGGTGCACACTGAAGAATCTTGGAAATATTTCAAGGAAATCTTGGAAATATTAGTTTTTGGGTAGCCACATCCCAACTGAATTACGACAGGAAAAATCCATTTGGAATAGAAAACATAATTGTTTATATGTTTATTAGACCTCGTTGAAAAGAAATTGCCGTAGCACAGGGAAATACTAATTCATGTTCAATTTGCATAAATTCTAATTTAATATTTTCAGGTTGTATTTTATAACAAAAATATATTGGCAAGATATTCAATTCGCGCTGTTCGTGGCAGATGAGGCCATATCATCGCTAGCCTGCTTGGGCGCGAGGTGAAGTCGGCAACAACGGCCTAGATTTGCGCGTTTGCGAACGTCCCTGCGGCGAACGGCCGCAATGACTGCGAGAATTTCGAACTGGGTCACGTGTGCGTGTGCCTGAGATATCGCTGGTGCATGTGCAGCTTCAGCACTGGTATACCTGCATCCTCATCGCTAGTTTCTCTCAGTTTCTTTGTTCCTATAGTTTTTTTATCTCATTGTCTGTGACTTCGTTGCACGCCATTGAAAGAACTGCATGAAATGAAACGCATTAGCGGAGCGCGAAGCTCGAGTAGCGGAGCGGGAAGAAGGACTATAAGGAAGCCAACAAGACACAGTTGAAAAACTGTCCTAATTTGCTTGTTGATGCCAAGAGATTCCCTAACACAGATGTGGATGGTGTTGTGGATGAGATGTGCAACTTTAGAGATGAATCACAACATTGCAGTGAACTGAACGCACAGTTTCAAGCATTTTAAACTTCTGATCGACTGGACACTTTTTGGCATGCCATCCTGTCAAAGAGTACCTACAAGAAGCTCTGGGATGTAGTGCAGATGCTCATGCTCCTGTCTCGTGGCCAAGCCACGGTTTAAAGAGGGTTTTCGTTCAACAAGGAAATCATGACGCAGAACATGAAAGAACAAACTTTGGTTGCCCTGCGTGCTGTGGTTACTCTATCATCTCTATAGGAGATGATAGAATATGCACGGTTACTCTTTCAGTCATGCTAAACCTTTCGTATACGACTCCTGGAAAATTATACTGATGATCATGGAGAGTCCTGGAAAAGTCCTGGAATTTTTTTTCTCAATATCGGTACGCACCCTGGATCGATTACATTCAAATGCAGGAGATTTAATCGTTATCCAACTTTGCCACAAAAGTTCGCTGATTTTAGACCTACAGTTTAGACGAGTTGAAATTCAGACGTTGTACCAATTCTTCCGGCGAAAACTTCCCTTTAAATTTATCTCATGCAGACGTTATCCGTGGAGTACAACCTCATCCCAGAAGGAATGCCTGCACTGATTGACTTCATGAAGTCTAAAGGATACATCTACTACATGAAATTCATCCGGCCTTATACACACGACCTTATTTTCGTCAAACAGGAAGTGATGGATCATACAAGCGTCCAATATTGAGAACTGCCCATTCTGGATGTTAATAACACCGTCAGTTGGATGACTCGTTTGAATTTGGAGTCTTGAAGAGATAATAACAAGAAATATTTTCAAACAAGGAATGGAAGCTAAACAACGACAGTCGCTTCTCGATTAGCACATACCCTTGGTTCATGATGAACAGCAGAAATTTTATCAGGTCATATAGGAAGAAAAAGTTTAGAATTAACAAACATTGATTAGTAAGTTTTAAGTGGCATTTCGTAAATATTAACTTAAAATTGAAATATTAATTAGTAAATTTAAATATTAACTTTAAAAACTTTGAAGATTAAGCGAAATTAACGCTATGATCAAATGATCAACTTGTAAAATAACCTTCAAATAATCGGCTTCATAGGGCGTAAAAGAAGCCCATGCAGCTCATCAGACTACACAGGTTTAATTCTTTTCTGCAATACGGTTAGGATAAATAAAGCATTGAGAATTGATAACTATTCCACAATGTTATAGTTTCTTTGACATTACAAGGTTTATATTTGCAATTGAAGCTTAAAATCGAATATATCGCTACCCTTTCGAAAGCAACAGCTAGTTTCTAGGCGGCCGATGAAAGGCAAGTGGTCGGCTGGAGCTGATATGCTTTTGGTCCGCAGCTAAAATATCAACACAATGACAAACAGCCAACGCAGAATAGCATCCAACCGATTGATGGGATACCTTCTTCGTAATAATATGCAATCAGCTTTCGTTAATGATATGGCTTGACGCAACAGTGGTTGAGGCTATCCGATCACAATTTATTTCATTCTTTAATGCACTGATGCAAGGTGTAGTATAGATCTAGAAGCATTCAGTAGCCAGATCGTTGCTTGACTTCCAGCCGCACAGAGCCATCGAATTTGCTCCTCTTTGGGTATCTTGAAACTCCTCCGATGAATCGGAGAGCGCTCTATCTTAGTCCGACATGTTTCTCAATGTTTCCTAGGTACCTTCTTTGTACTAACCACAACTTGGTCTCAAAAACAACGAAAACTATTTTGTCTGGTTATATTTTGAAATTATGTTGTCCATGTCCAGAAACTCACCATAAATAAACCTGATGCTCTCTCAAATCATCTCATTTGATCAAGGAATTCTGGAGAGTCTTATATACCAGATTTAAGTGTTTTCTTCTGTAGTCTGTCTCTAATGTAACTGTCGAGACACTAAATTCAAATATTATATATTATTGTTCACATATTTAGTACAAATAGCTTGGTGTAGAAATTCTGACTATTAAGTCACTTAAGAGTGGAGTAACGGCAAATACTACGTTACGAAATCCCATATATAGGAGCCGTTCAGCGCATCCAGCCTAAAGGCTTAGCTATTAGGATTTTTGAACCTAAAGATTTTTTCCTCATGCCGAACATTACATCTATAAGAAAATAATATCCTAGAGATACATGTTTAAATAAATTAAGTACCACAAAAAACTCTATGTCAATCTTTCATGAATTTATGAGGGAAGGGAGGAGACACCATCAAATTTTTAGGGGTTTAAATCCATGTTGATAACTTGTAAAGATAGATTTCCAAAAACAAAATGGTACAATCTGACTTTGCAGTCTCCAATTGACGGCACATTGAAGTTTGACCAAAACAAAGTTGTTCATTTAGCAAGGCATGATTTTGGTTTTTGATATAGGAAAACCAATACACTCCCTTTACACCAATAATAATTTATGAACCACTAATAATTTATCAGAATTTCGTCAAAAAGTTTGTCGGCCACTTCGTCCATTAAAGAGGCCTCTTTCTCGAATCTTCTGCTTGATGTAATCGTTGTTGTGGTTGTTGGCGAGATAAAGGACTGGTTGACCTTCCACAGCTCAAGCCAATATCTTTCCTAAATATGAATAAATTTATTTGTTCATTAACTTTTTGCGTAAATTACTTTTATATGATATTTTGCTTTTTAATCATCCTTCAAAAACAACGCAGTTTTACTATAGATGCATTGTATAGAATTTCAGAATGTCATCATCAATTCGTATTGTCTTAATCATACCGGCTAAATAGAAGTTATACGTTCGAAAAATAAAAAGTCTAAAAAAAACTTTCTCATACCATTTTTATTACCTGCACACACGTGGCGCAAGAGATTATCGAAAGCCTCGCTGTTGCTCGGGATGTGCTCCCCAACCTCGTTGTTCCTCGGGAATGTCGGCTTCCTTAGAATATCGCGAAAATCCTTCTTAATTTCAGTGATGTTTTGATTTTGTTCTTCATAGTTCAGCCGATATTCACTTTAGCTTTTTCGCAAAAAGAACATGCCGTATTTTTGACGCTTCCAATCCCAAATCATATCGATCCATCTCCAACTTATCGATTTTGTCGAAACTCCTGGAACGCGTTGTGGCGCGACAGCTGAACAGCCATCTTCAGCAGTCCGGCCTCGTGCCTCGCCTCCAGTCTGCATACCGTCATCTCCACTCGACAGAAACCGCTGTGCTGAAGGTGCTTTCAGACATTCTGCGCGCAGTTGACCGTGCGGCAACATTGCGGCACTAGCTTTACTCGACCTGTCGGCCGCGTTTGACACGGTCGACGACGCCACTTTATTTTACGTCGACTTGACGTATCATTCGGCCTACGCGGCACAGTGCTGCTGTGGTTCGAGTCCTATCTCAGCAATAGATTCAAATGCGTTCGACGCGAGAACTCTTCTGCGCCATCGTTGGTCACTTGCGGCGTACCCTTAGTTCCTTAGTATTTGTTTGGAACGTATAGCAGTCCCAGGCCACGATGGATCGCCGCCTCTGATTATCGTTCATCCGCCCTCATTTGGGCCACCTGATGCACGATGCTGTTGCTTGCTTCTCGCCGCTGGTAGTGTTGCAGGGGAGGTCGATCTGGGATTGTGCCCAGGAACACGTCCAGTTGTCTTTTGAAGGTCTCCAGGTTGAATTCCCACTCTCTTAGATACCTTGGTAGGGCGTTGAACAGCCTTGGCCCTGCCACGGAAAGTGATCCTTCCCGCAGGGATTGAAATCTGACTGCGGATCTGTTACGTAGTGGGGGGATCTTGCACAGTCTCCCCCTTCTCTCGTTGTGATATGTCTTAATCCTGAAGGTCTCGCTCTTGAAGTTTAACACCATTCCGGTTATCATTTTCCATGTGTACAGAATGACATACCTCTCCCGTCTCCTCTGCAGTGCGTACAGACCCAGTCGCTGTAACCTCTCCCAGTAGTTAAATTTCTCCATCCCTCTGATCCTGGAAGTAAAGGTTCGTTGGACTTCTTCCAGTTGCCATATTGCGCCTAGTGTGAACGGAGTCCAGAGCTGGCAGCAGTATTCAAGGATAGGTATTACAAGGGCTCTGAAGAGTGTGATCATCGGTTCCGCTTCCCTCGTTCTGAACGTCTGCCAAATCAACCCCATCTGTCGTCTACCTCTTGCGGTTATTGCCGGTAAGGTAAGAGATCACCAAAACTGACCTGATTGTTCATCAACACTCCTAGATCGCGAACGAGTCACTTCTCTTCGATTTCCGAGTTGTCAGGTGCCAGGTTGCGGTGACCCATTCCAGCTCTTCCGGTTCCTCTGTATCTCAGGACCTCAAACTTGGTCCCGTTGAACTGCATGTTGTTCACTAGGGCCCAGTCATATATTGTAGAGAGGTCTTCTTGCAAACTCTCACTGTCCGTCCTGTCCGTGATGGTCATTAATATCCTGGTGTCGTCCGCGAATGACTATGCAGTGGCGCGGTTCACTGCAACATCTATGTCGGCGCTGTGGATGAGGAAGAGGAATGGGCCGAGTACCGTTCCCTGTGGTACTCCACTCTTCACCCTAGCCACGCTCGATCTCGAGCCTCCAACAACTACAGCTTGTAGTCTTTCTGTTAGGAAGCTGTGGATCCATGCCAGCAATTCACCTCCGACTCCCAGCAGTCTTAATTTTCTGAAGAGCACTCCATGGTCAACTTTGTCAGGGAGCAGTTCTCGGCCCGATCCTCTTTCTGTTATATGTTGTCGACGTATTGCATATAATTGTTTCACATAGTTTGAATCCGCATATGTTCGCCGACGACATCCAAATTTATGGCTACTGTACACTGGCTGACGCCGCAGCGTTGCAGGATCGGATGTGTGTGCATGAACGCTGTCTCAGACTGGATACGCTCCAACCTGCTCCAGCTCAAGGCATCAAAAACCGATTTTATTTGGTTTGCGACTGCTCATCACCAGCATCAGCTTCCGGCCAACCCTGTTCGCGTGGGCAAAGAGTTCGTTTTGCCTGTATCCACAGTTCGCCACCTGGTCATTCTGCTGGACTCGAACTTTCAATGAACAATCACATTGCCAAAGTCATAACCACTTGCTTTGGCGCTCTGGAACATATACGTAGCATCAGCCGCTGTCTTTCGAGGCCGGTCCTTGAGGCACTTGTGGTGGCGGGCCTACCGAGTAGGCCCTTGTGGAGGCCCTACTCGGTAATGCCACACTTTGTGGACTTCCGACCACGGCACCTAATAAACTGCAATCTGTAATGAACGCTGCTGCTCGACTCGTGTGCAATAACCGATAATTCGACCATGTTACGCCGATATTGCACGATCTTCACTGGCTGCAAATTCAGCAGCGCACACAGTTCAAGGTCGCTGTTCTGATGTTCCGATGCCTTCATGATCTGGCGCCTCCTTATCTCACGGAATGTCTGCAGCGCATGTCGGATCTGCCTTCTAGAAGACAATTGCACTCATTGTCAACAGCAAACCTCGTCGTACCATCTACACGTCCATCTACCGTCGGCGACAGGGGGTTCCCGGTCGCCGCCGCCAGAACCTGGAACAGTCTGCCGGCTTCCGTAACCTCGGCTCCTTCGTTGCATGTGTTTCGTCGACGCCTAAAGACGGAACTATTTCGTAGAGCCTATGAATCTAGTGCTTAGTCGTTTTATCCGTTCCTATCATTTCTTATGTCTATTTAATTTTCGCTTGCTATTTAATCTTATGTGCGACTTGCCTCGAA